ATGATGATACCGGGTTTTGTCATAATTACCGTCATAGAAGTGTCATAAGTATGACAGAAAAAAAATTCATTCGGCCCAAAATATCACGGATGTGTCTTTTTTTTGTAGTGATGGGCAGTAGCCTTCACGACCTCCGGCGCCGTCGCGGCCATGGCGTTATTGTTGTTCCTCTGCGGCTCATGCATTTATCGCCATGCAGAGCGGTGCGACAACCTGATCGGCAGCTTCTACCAAGTCGTCTTTGCCGCCTACCGGAACCGCAAGTCCAATGTGTCACCGGACTTGTTGATCATGTACGAGGGCAACGGTGCAAAGAAGCTGGCTCACACTTCAGGCCTCAGGTCAGCCTGCCCTCTAGTGAATCAATCGATACATAACTAGCAAATCAAGGTAGTTTGGGTTAGTTTGGTTTTACTAACTTGCGGCCGGGTTAAAAGGGAGCTCTATTTGGCACGTGAGGCGTGCCCTATATTTTTTTTGTTTTTGGGTTTTACTTTTTTCCTATTTTTGTTTTATTCTATGTCAAAATAATTTGGCATCAAAAAAAGTTCTAAAAATTTAAAAGAACTGTGAATTTTTAATATTTAGATGAACATTTTTTAATTTTAACGAACATTTTTATGAGGATTTTTAATACTGACGAACAACTTTTTGTATTTGATGAACAAATTTTGAATTTGATGAGCATTTTTTGACCTTGATGAACATAATTTGTATTCAAGAACATTTTTAGAAAAATGATGAACACATTTTTTATTCAATGAACAAATGTTGAATTTGATGAACAAAATTTGTATTCCAGAACATTTTTGTGAAAAAGATGAACAATTTTTTATTCAATGAACAAATTTTGAATTTGATGAACACTTTTTGAAAAATGCTGAACACATTTTTTATTCAATGAACAAATGTTGAATTTAACTACGCCTATGGTGTCTCAATATAGCCGGTCCCAAGCCCGGGCAAAGGAGGAGGGTTGTGATAGGCTTGGCGAGCCAGCATAAAAACTCAGCCACTCTATGGAGATGAAACCCAAAAGATTTTCATTGGGGCGTGACCTTCTCAGCGACGCGCCACATCGGAACCCGGGTGTGGTGGCAAATGTTTGGCAAGGGTCGGGCCGTCACCCCCTGGTGGCGCGCCGTATCTTGATCTGGATATGGTGGCAAGTGAGCGAGGATCCGGTCGTCGCATCCTTAGTGGTGCGCTACATCGGCGCCCGGATGTAGTGGAAAATGAGCAAGGGTCTTCGCATTTGACTCGACGAGTGCAAAGGGTAAGGAAGGTAGCCGAGCCTAGGAGGATTCACTTAGGTAGCTAGAACGTAGAGTCTCTAACAGGGAAGCTTCGAGAGCTTGTGGATGCAGCAGTGAGGAGAGGTGTTGATATCCTTTGCTTCCAACAAACCAAATGGAGGGGACAGAAGGCGAAGGAGGTGGAGGATACCAGCTTCAAGCTATGGTACACGGGGACGGCTGCTAATAGAAATGGCGTAGGTATATTGATCAACAAGAGCCTCAAGTATGGAGTGATAGACGTCAAGAGACGTGGGGACCGGATTATCCTGGTCAAGCTGGTAGTTGGGGACTTAGTTCTCAATGTTATCAGCGCGTATGCCCCACAAGTAGGCCACAATAAGAACACCAAGAGAGAGTTCTAGGAAGGCCTAGAAGACATGGTTAGGAGTGTACCGGTTGGTGAGAAGCTCTTCATAGGAGGAGACCTCAATGGCCACGTGGGTACATCTAACATGGGTTTTGAAGGGGCGCATGGGGGCTTTGGCTATGGCATCAGGAATCAAGAAGTAGAAGATGTCTTAAGCTTTGCTCTAGCCTACGACATGATTGTAGCTAACACCCTCTTTAGAAAGAGAGAATCACATCTGGTGACTTTTAGTAGTGGCCAACACTCTAGCCATATCGATTTCATCCACTCGAGAAGAGAAGATGGGCGTGCGTGCCTAGACAATAAGGTGATACCTGGAGAGAGTGTTCTACCCTAGCATAAGCTGGTGGTTGATGACTTCCACTTTCGGATTCGTGTCCAGCGGGATAAGCGTGCCAGAGTCACTAGAATGAAGTGGTGGAAGCTCAAGGGGGAGGTAGCTTAGGCGTTCAGGAGAGGTGCGTTAAGGAGGGCCCTTGGGAGGAAGGAGGCGATGCGAACAATGTGTGGATGAAGATGGCAACTTGCATTCGTAAGGTGGCCTCAGAGGAGTTTGGAGTGTCCAAGGGAAGGAGAAGCGGAGATAAGGATACCTGGTGGTGGAATGATGATGTCCAGAAGGCGATTAAAGAGAAGAAAGATTGCTTGAAACGCCTATACCTGGATAGGAGTGCAGACAACATAGAGAATTACAAGATGGCGAAGAAGGCCGCAAGGCGAGATGTCAGTGAAGCAAGGGGCCGAGCATATGAGGAGCTCTACCAACGGTTAGGCATGAAGGAAGGCGAAAGGGAGATCTATAAGATGGCCAAGATCCGAGAGAGGAAGACGAGGGATATTGGCCAAGTCAAATGCATCAAGGACGGAGCAGACCAACTCTTGGTGAAGGACGAGAAGATTAAGCATAGATGGCGGGAGTACTTCGACAAGTTGTTCAATGGGGAGAATGAGAGTTCTACCATTGAACTGGACGATTCCTTTGATGAGACCAGCATGCGCTTTGTGCGGCAAATCCAGGAGTCCGAGGTCAAGGAGGCGCTAAAAAGGATGAAAGGAGGCAAGGCAATGGGCCCTGATTGTATCCCCATTGAGGTGTGGAAAGCCTCGGGGACATAGTGATAGTATGACTAACCAAGCTTTTCAACCTCATTTTTTGGGCAAACAAGATGCCAGAAGAAAGGAGACTAAGTATATTAGTACCAATCTTCAAGAACAAGGGGGATGTTCAGAGTTGTACTATTTACCGTGGAGTTGAGCTGATGAGCCATACAATGAAGCTATGGGGGAGAGTCATTGAGCACCTCTTAAGAAGAATGACAAGCGTGACCAAAAATCAGTTTGGTTTCATGCCTGGGAGGTCGACCATGCAAGCCATTTTCTTGGTACGACAAATTATTGGAGAGATACAGGGAGCAAAAGAAGGACTTGCATATGGTGTTCATTGACTTGGAGAAGGCCTATGATAAGATGTCGCGGAATGTCATGTGGTGGGCCTTGGAGAAACATAAAGTACCAGCAAAGTACATTACCCTCATCAAGGACATGTACGATAATGTTGTGACAAGTGTTCGAACAAGTGATGTCAAGACTGATGACTTCCCGATTAAGATAGGACTGCACCAGGGGTCAGCTTTGAGCCCTTATCTTTTTGCCTTGGTGATGTATGAGGTCACAATGGATATACAAGGAGATATCCCATGGTGTATGCTCTTTGCGGATGATGTGGTGCTACTTGACGATAGTCGGACGGGGGTAAATAGGAAGTTAGAGTTATGGAGACAACCTTGGAATCGAAAGGGTTTAGACTTAGTAGAACTAAAACCGAGTATATGGTGTGCGGTTTCAGTACTACTAGGTGTGAGGAGGAGGAGGAAGTTAGCCTTGATGGGCAGGTGGTACCTCGGAAGCACACCTTTCGATATTTAGGATCAATGCTTCAGGAGGATGGGGGTATTATGAAGATGTGAACCATCGAATCAAAGCCGGATGGATGAAGTGTCGCCAAGCTTCTGGCATTCTCTGTGACAAAAGAGTGCCACAAAAGCTAAAAGGCAAATTCTACAGGACGGCGGTTCGACCTACAATGTTGTATGGCGCTGAGTGTTGGCCGGCTAAAAGGCGACATGTTCAATAGTTAGGTGTGGCGGAGATGCGTATGTTGAGATGGATGTGTGGCCACACGAGAAAGGATCGAGTCCGAAATAATGATATACGAGATAGAGTTGGGGTAGCACCAATTGAAGAGAAGGTTGTCCAACATCGTCTGAGATGGTTTGGGCATATTCAACGCAGACCTCCAGAAGCTCCAGTGCATAGCGGACGGCTAAAGCGTGCGGAGAATGCCAAGAGAGGGCGGGGTAGACCGAATTTGACATGGAAGGAGTCCGTTAAGAGAGACCTGAAGGATTGGAGTATCACCAAAGAACTAGCTATGGACAGGGATGCGTGGAAGCTTGCTATCCATGTGCCAGAGCCATGAGTTGGTCGCGAGATCTTATGGGTTTCACCTCTAGCCTACCCCAATTTGTTTGGGACTAAAGACTTTGTTGTTGTTGTTGAACAAAAATTGAATTTGATGAACAAAATTTGTATTCCAGGACATTTTTAAAAAAAAGATGAACAATTTTTTATTCAGTGAACAATTTTTTTAATTTGATGAACATTTTTTGAAAACAGTGAACAAAAACAGGTTGTGTGGGCATTAGTCGGCAGATACCCAGAAATATTTCATCTAAATTATAATCACCAGCTGTTTATAAACTTCTCGCTGTGTGCTGATTCTACTCTAACGTTTTAATTCTGATGATGAGTCGCGCACGTGACAGCCTTGAGAAATCATCAACCACCGTGGCACACACGTTGTGTGGAGGGTGCACTGAGATCTAGCTCGAGCTACTATCCCCGCGTCGCGTCCGCGCGCGGGAGCCGGACACGACACCACGACTCGGCTACACCGCTGCACCACGGATGCCGTTCTACCGGTGGCTAGAGCTTGGAACTGAATCTACATTCACGCACCGGCCAGCAGAGACAAGACATGCACTGCATGAAAACATGGACAAAGATCCACACAAATGGAGATTCCATATCGACATCATCAACGTACAAAACAGCCACCGCAACTAATCACAACTCTCACTCATGGCACACAGTACAAATCAGGTCCCGATCGATTATTTCGCCACCAGCAGCACGAACTCATCTAGTAGCAGTACAATCTCCGTGCCGCGGCGCGGTGCACGCGGATCACGGGGCCGACACGCACGGCCCCGCAACTTATTGCTACCACCACCCGCCACCAACCACAACACACGAGGAGGCCGGCGTACTCGATCTTACGCATCGGCGGCGCCATCGGCTGGGCAGCGGTCGACGACGGCCTCCAGCTTGTAGGGCGCGGCGTCGGTGGCGAGCCACTGCTCGACGGTGAAGAGCTGCTGGGCGCAGCCGCGGTGCGGGCCGGTGACGGTGACCTCCACGTAGTTGCAGTACCAGCCGTGGTGCGCGCCGGTGCCGTCGGAGGACACCCTCATGCGGCAGGGCGCGCTGGCCATGCACGGCCCGCGCCCGCTGAAGATGTCGAGGTTGCCGCGCTCGAAATAGGAGTGGCCCTGCCACATGAGCCCGCCCCACGACGGCAGGTCCGAGATAGCCACGCCGTCGGCGTTGCCCGCGGTGTAGAGCTCCAGCGTGATGTTGGCGTCCGTCCCGGCCTTCCAGATCGCCCCCGTCCGCACATACACCGTGTACACGCACTCCTGGCTGTCGCCGCCCACCACGGCGCCGCCCTTGGTCAGCTGCGAACGGATCGAAGCCGGCAAGGTAAACGCGATGAGTACACGAGCAGCGTAGCAATCATGTCATGAGGATAGGAGAGGGAGGGTGGTGAGTCACCTTGATCTGAGTCGGGAGGTCGCGGCCATGGGCCAGCGCGGTGGCGGAGACGGCGACGGCGAAGGCGAGGAGGAGGGCGGCGAGCCGAGCCATGGCTGACGGATCGGAGTGCGATCGAGCTTGGTG